CTCTGCAGGTAGTCTGGTAATGTTTTGTGTGAATTTTTAAAACATTGGAGAGGCAAGAGGCAGGTTTGGGGTTTTTTTCCCAAATTTTGAATGCGAAGTCAGGAGTAAATGAAATAACTCAGAGGAATGGTGTATGATTTAATACTGTGGGATGGTTCTCCAACTTCCATAGATGACAAGCTTTGAAGTAAAAGACCAGAAGGGACGTTTTAATCTTTAGGTTTCATTTACCCAGAGCATTACTCTTTTCTGAGGGAGGACGTTAAGATTGCTGTGAAGGCTAAAGCTTAGTAGGATATTCTTCGAAAAGGTGGCCTACTTTCACCTCGATGATTTCATTGAACCAAATGGCTCAGTCTGTTTATCTGAGGAACATCATTTTAAGCGATTTTAAAGAGTTTAATTAGAAGTCAGTTTGCTGACGTATAGAGGTGTTTTTTCCCCTCAAAATATTATGCTAAAAATTTATCTATATTATTTTTAACTTTTTAATCAATTTTTTTTTTAGTTTAAAAATACTTTCATTTTATGCTTGCATCTTAATTTTAATTCATTGATCTTTCTTGCTCTGCTCAGATTATTGTGGGATGTATTGCTAATGAAATAAGACTTTTTCATTTCTGTTCAGTGTAAGGTATGTTCTTTGTGACACAACAGAGAGATCTTTTGACTGTTTCTTTATTTCAGAAAAGAATAGCTTTTAACTTGGTTTTCTAACAAAAATAAGTTATGCAGTTGCCTACCATTCTAGTAATATTGTCTCTAGTAACCTGTTGACCCATTATGGCAAGATTTGATAGAGAGGTATGTATGCCTAAGGTAATTAAGTTCTTGGGTATTTTGTAGAGCAGCTGGATAGGAAGGATGAGTGCTGAGTAAGGAAGAGGTTTTAGTCACGAGTTCAGTTACCTTTGTGTTTGGTCTCTCGCTGTCCAGTGTAGAGCACGTGTAGTTTGGAACCTGTCCTAGTATGTCCTCACTTCAGCTTGGGAACACAGGGAGAACTTGGGAATATGGTGAGAGACATGGTTTGAATGTAGTAGAGAAGGAGAGGTTAAGAAGTCACCAGAGAAGGGGAAGAATAGGAATATTATGGTATAGTATTAGGAAGGCAAATTCGACTGGTTTGGCTGGTTTTAGCATGTATTTATTTATTTTTATTTTTAAGGGCCCTAATTGTAAAAGGATATGAAATGAAAAATAGTATCTGCCTTGTGTGTCATGATTACAACCTTGGCATAAGTTTGTCTGATTTTCTGGGGTAGTTAAGGCTGTATAGGATCAGTACTTAATTAGCCCTTAGCTACAGGCATATAATTTATTTGTCAACAGAAATCTTAAGTTGCCCATGTAGTAACCAGAATGTAGGTGCCTGCATGGTGGTTCTATTGATGCTGTGGGATCTAAAGCTCAGTAGCTGGAATCCTCCTGTTAATAGCAGGGAAGTGTCTGAGCACATAGCACACTTATCTCTTACTTGAGTGCACATCGAATGAATTCCAGAGCTGTGCAAGTATAGAACTTAGGATAAGACACAACCAAAGACTTGCCAAACAGCTGTCATTAAATGTCAACATTTGAAATATTTGTTTACAGAAACTTTTTACTTCTACATGTAGAAAATTATATAGTTACATATTTTGAACCACATTCCATTGTTCAGTACTTTTTTTGATTCCTGTCCTAAAGTGGCATCTTGAGGCAGTTGCCATGTATGGGTTGCATCTGTCTAATCCAGATCTAGCTGTGTTTTGTTCTGGACTGAGTTGTCCATTTCAAATGGTCGATATTTTAGAGCATATCTACCTTTTGCCATGAAACAAAAAACCTGCTGGGATAGCACTGGCATTAATGGGGTTTTTGCTTGGGTGCTGATAACAGGACTTTTTCCTTTCCTGGAAAGGAGCACTTTGGAAATGCAGGGACAAATTTCACAAAACTGACTTGCTCTGTTTTATGATATAGAGAAGTCATAAATTGAAGGTATCTCTATACTATTGAATTGCCGAGTGTTTTGATTAAAAAATCACTGCCTTTATATGCATCTTATACTGGATCAACATCTCTGTTTCCAAATAAGTTCTGAATATGAACAAGTTAATCTCAGTTGTAGTATTTACCATTGGACATATATAATAATACTGTTCCTTTAAGCTTTTCTTTTATAAGAAATTTTAAATTGTTTATGGGAAGTACATGCAGCTCTAATATTTGATGCTTATAATCTCTTATGTTCTGATTCTGAGCCCAGTAGTGACAGAAATTATTCAAAGCATTTTAAAATGAAAATACAGTACTTTGAGGCAAACAGCAATGAAAAATACTGGACAAAGTAATCCAGGTTTATCTGATTCTTTTCTGTGAATCTGTAAGGTAGTGAAAACATATGTAAAATTACAAATGCCTAATTACAGCAAGGCTATTGTTGAAAATCACGGAATATTCAATTTTCAGTTGTGAATTTGATGTTATTTTCCATTGTGAATGCTGCCAATAGGATAATGATTCTGAGCAGAAGTTAGCATTGCAAATATGTTTAAGTGTAGAAATCAGTTTGGAAAAACATTAATGTAAAATTCTGTTACTTTAAAAGCATATAAAATATCCTACAGATGTGTATGTCAAAGGTGTTGATTTTAATGTTAGTTTTCTAGTGATTGTCAAACAGATTCAAGTACGTTTGAAGGTTTAGAAATCTTAACATAGGTCTAATCTAATGGAAGCATAATGCGGGCATAATTAATGTGACATTCCTTGTCATATACATCACACATTATATAGCAGACAGATGAAAAACAACATTTTCTTGACAAAGGTGACTAAAGTATTCATAAATCTCGTCTCTGTTTTGCTGAAATTTAAATATGATTCATCACTTCTTAAAATATAGTTATTAACTTGTAATCTTTTCCACTTAGGGTAAAAATTAATTTCATTCTTACCTATATTTCCACATTATGTATCAGTTTTCAAGATGGCATTATTCTGACTTTACAAAGCATGCATTATTGTCTCTTGCTGCTTAAACATGGAGAATGAGGACCATAACACTGCATATATTGGCATGCACTTTTACACCTACTTCTTTCTTATCTTTGCCTACCATTATTCAGCAGGGCCTACATGGCTTAAAATTGTCAAAGTTTGTAAGTGTTCTTAGGACTAATGCCAGAAATTGAAAGTAGTAAAATTGGCAGTTAATGTGCTGATGTCTGATCAAACTTTTTTTCATCTAGTTTTAATTTACAGTGACTTTGGGTTATGTAACATGTAGTTGACATGTAGCCCATGTTACGTTAATACCTCTAATGTTACACTGATGAATTCAGTTACTTGTAATAAATTGGTTCTTCCAGATTTGGACTCTTGGGTATCTACTGTGTGGCTTGTGGAAGGTAGAACACCTCAATTATGACTGTGTTACTAAATGTATAGTAAATATTGATATGTATTAAGTAGATAGGGTTTTACAATTTTTTATAAATCATCTTTAGGGAAATGTGAAAGAGAACCTCAGTGGTAATTAAAGTATTCTGAAGAGGCACAAAATAGACTAGTGCTTTCCATTCCACTACATTCCTTTCTACTACAGAGTTAACTCTTGCCTAAAGACAAAAAAACCTTCCCAACAGTATGTTATTAATATGCGCAGATCAAAAGCTGCGTAGTTAGAAAGGTATGGATGTGTTGAAGTGGCAGGTTTATTTACAGTATAACTATATTTAAATGTGTAAAATAGTTTAAAATAGTGAACAGTCTTAATTTGAAACTAGTATAAATCCCCTTCAAAGAGGACCCCAAACAGGAGAAACATGGTATTACTAGCTTCTTCAGAATTGGATTTATGGCTGCTTGTAATTCTCAACTGGCTGAAGATTTTTCTGATCAGCTGGTTTTTACTTTTTCTGAGATGAACACTAGCTGCTTCAAAAAAGGTTTTAAGAAATTGTTAAGTAGGCAGTATTGTGGGTTTTTTTTTTTTTTTTAATCATGTGGCAAATGACTTCCTAAGATGATGGTTTCCTCCCAGAAAAACAAGCATTTTAAAGTTTATTTTATTAGTGTCAAAGTATCAGACATTGTGGGTTAGTGGAATAGTATCTGATGTTTTTCATTTCCTTCTGCATCCCTTCTAATTTTCTTTCCTTGTTAAACAAGGGAGAGAGAGTGTGATATTGTCAGCTTGTGGCAGTTATTTTATGCCTGCAGGTTATAATGCTGCTATTTCAGGGATAAAATCATAGTGACTGAAACTGGACTCGTGCGAGTTGCATGTAGTTACTTAGAGCTGCTTGTAAACCTTTGCTGTTTGCTGTTACAGCTCCTGGAAACTTCTTTTCCTTGACACTGTTGGTATTTAGATTTTTTGGCCAACTGCAATACTGAAATGATTTCCACTTTTTGTATTACCCGTTCCATCTGTTTTGTACCAGTCATATGTTGGTATATGCTGCAGCTTTATGAGCATCTGCCATATACCCATTATACTGAGCTTCAGTTTGAAAGCTTTAATTCTTGCTTACTCCTCAAAAGCTGTAAGAATTATTTTCTGTTTCTGTCTTGATGAAGTTTTTTAATTTTGATTCTTTTTTTTTTTAATCCAATCACTTGGCTTACAAATAGAGCACTTCTAAGTGCTCAAGAAATTTACTGTAATATACTGTTCATATCAATTTTCAAATTATGCATTTTAGTATTGGGAAGTTTGTGCAAAGTCTGTAAGATTTGTAATTCTGGTGGCTGTCTTTTTTAGAATAAGGCTCTGCATGCTCAGGTCAACAAACGTATTTATATTTATTTTTTGGCTAGTTCTGTAGATTTGTATCCAGAATCTGAAGCTGTTGTTCTAATATCTGTTATTGTAGTTGTCTTGCAGTGGTTCTGTAGTTAATGCTTTAAATTATTTCCTCTGGTATGTTTTTGTTGTTATTATGAATAATAGATAAATAGAAAAACCACTATGCTACCTAATACTGAATTTTAAATATATTTTCTTCTAGAGAACTAGAGGACGAAAACGAAGCTTTGTGCCTGAAGAAGAAAAAGCTGAGGTTGGAATATAGCGTTTTGTTTGTTTTGGTTTTGTTTGTTTTTTTTAACAGTTTCATAAAAAAAATTAAACTTTGGGCTGAAGTGTTACTTTCAGTGCTATAATTGAAAATATTTGCTTTCCTTCTCTCCTTTCCCCCCCATTCCTTTCTTTTTCCTTCTGCTATGACAGGAACGGATTCCCAGAGAAAGAAGACAACGACAGTCTGTTTTACAGAAGAAGCCCAAGTCGGAGGATTTAAGGACTGAATGTGCTACCTGCAAAGGGACTGGAGACAATGAAAATCTAGTCAGGTAAGTTTGATGCTCTGACCTTATGAGGAATTCAAGTTCCATCTTCATCACTTCGTCATTGTGATTATAACACAGAAAATGTGCTTTTTAAAAAAAACAAACAAAATCCTATTTAGGGGAAACATTACATCAGAAATATTGACTTGATTCACTTATTGACCTGCCAAACACATTTACACTGTGGATTAAAATGTAAATAACCAAGATAATCTATTTTTCTAAGACAAGAGAATTAATTTGCTCTTGTCAGGGTGAATTGTCAATGTTTTAGAGCAGGTCAGAAAGATAAACAAACCAGCAATTTAATGATATTAAAGCTACAGGAGCATCCTAGAAGTAATTATATTAGGATCATTAACAATTTTATGACCTGAAATGTGGATTATAAGGAATTTATGTTTTTAAAAATGTATTAATGCTACCTCCATTAATGCAGATCATGAAAGGGTTTGATAATCATGTCTCTTATCTGAAACAGAAGTGAAAAAAAAATTTGTTGAATCGTGTTTTAGTAGGTGCAGAAATCTAATTAAACAGAATAGTTGCCATTGAATAGCTACTGTTGACCACAACTTCTGCTGATTTTGACTTTATAGCTGGCATTGTGACCTCTTTGCGAAGCTGTAGAAACTGCTCGCAATTCTTGAAAGAAGAATAATGGAGCTTAGCAACTAGAAAGCAGATTTTAATTGAATCTACTGAGCTTTCATTAAAATGATCTCGTAATAAGTTCAGATAAAAAATAGCATTGTATTTAGGTCCTGTATGCTTCAACTACATTTTTCTGGACAAGATCTCCTCTTTAGCTCAGATATAATTATTGTTTTTAACTGGAAGGATTAATACATCTTTTAATTTATTTCAAGGAATCAGTTACGAGAAAAGTCAGAATCAATGATAGAGGCAAGCAACACATAGCTTTAGAATCAGAATGTGTCCCACGTACGGATGTCTTGTACTCAGAATAGCTGATTTTAGTATCAATTACAGCATATGATTTACTGTAGAAGTTGATACAATTTCAAGGGCTGTGTGCCAGATTGTATTTTTATTTCCAGATTGGAGGCAGAGTGCCTGTATGAGCTCATCAGTAACTGTGTGATTCTCTTACACAGACAAGCTACTGCTGCTAGGTACTCCTAGATCTTGCTCACTACTAGACTGTGAAATAGAGGCAGGATGTTACAGTGATTGCTGATACAGTTATACTGATGAGAACTGATGGCAACAGTTTTTAACTGTCCACAACAAGATAAAGGGCTTTCTTCAGCCCTATTGTTGGAAAGAAATAAAAGATGCAGGAAAACCATTTTGTTGTGGGAAGGAATCCTGGGAACAACATGTACTGTGCTTTACTGTGAAAAAGGCAGTGAATTAGTTTTCTTCTTCAGGCTTTTTCTAGAAGTGTTAAATACCACATTTTGAAGACATAAAGGATAAGATGAGAAAATGCTGTGAAGAACTGTATATTTAAGTTGCAATTAAAAAATATGGTAGCAAATTAGTGGTATGTCTTGCTTACTAGGTGAAAAGATTTTAGTAGTAATTTAGGTGGGCCAAAAATAAGCATACTACATGCCAAAGCCCAACAAATTCTCTCATAAACCATCCTTATAATTAGGCTTGGAAACAGAGGAGTAATCCTGCATGGGAGGAGAGAAAAGGAGATTCTTATGTTCTAATCCTTTGTTCATACTTCTCTGAAAAATATTTTCTTAAATATTCTGCCTTATTTTCCATATTAGTTTTTTAAAAAGATTATGAATTTAAAACTTGCTTTTCTTCAGATAATTCCTATAAATAGCTGCAATTTTATCCAAATTAGGTGACCACTGCTTCTAAAGTGTCGTGGAGGCTTATTTTTGATAATTACTAAACGATGTGAAAGTATTTAGTAAATTTGAATTTCTTTAGTATTATTTTTAGTTCTTAAAGCTGTATTTCTTTTGATGAGAGTAAATTCAGGTACTGTAATAAGATGCTAGCTACGAGATAGGCTTTCTGCTATGCAGCCAAAGCTGTATAGGGGTGTGATCCACAAAGTGTTGCAACGTCAGAGAAAGTTTTCAGAATCCTTTTTTCTCTTACGTTGTCACAAAGTAAGGGAAGCAGGCTTCTGCCTGCACTGCTGCTTTTTCCTGCCTGTACCATCACACAAGACTCCTTTGTGGTAGTAGAAATAGAGCGTTATTTTAAATGCAAGCTGGTAGGGCTCCTTGTAAGCAAGAGATGTTTAGGAGGGAAAACAGAAGTATTTTTTCAATATCCATTTTGTTTGGCACTGCCTGTTATTAAAGCCAAAACTTTCTCAGAAAACTAGTGATCTTTGTCATCATCTTTGCTCTTCACTCAACAAATGTTTTGTAATTACTGGATTTTATTTTCACCCTTTCCTACCCATCTGTAACTAAAAAAAGGGAGGTTTGTGGGGATGTTATAGAAGAGATTTCTGAATGTGAAAGTTGATCACTAAGTTAAATGGAAATATGCAACTGCTGAAACTGCATATTTAAGGATTAATCTTGATGGGCCTTCTAGCTTCTCCTGCTGTGTGTTACCTCAAACGGGGCTGGTTACATGACTCTTAAACAATCTGCTTTTAAAAATCGTAGGTTCTTCTAAAATTTATGCGGCGCTCTCACTTTAGAGTTGCTGAGTAAGGATTACAGGAAGATAAGCAATTATTTCTTATTTCAAAGAATGCAGCAGAGTATTTAGTAATGAATCTGGAATAAAAAAATATTAAATTGTTTAACTAGTTATTACTGTTTGACTAATGGAGATTCTTTTTTTTTTTTTAATCTCCATTTTAGGTGCTTGTGTGTAGCATTGGATGCCTGAGGGATTTTGTTACCTGTTCAGTGTCTTTACTTAACCTGTTGTTCATATAGTTTAAAATATTCAAATAATTGCCTGTGAAATTACTTAAAATTCTTCCTAAAAAAATACGTTTCATTCTAATAAGTTATAATAGTTCATTAATTGGCTGAAGTTTGCCTTAGTGACTATAGTTTTGTACCAAAAAAAGTGATTAAAGTTAGAATATCTTTAATTATTAGCTTTTGTCTAAAACATATTGTCATGTTCCCTACTTCTATATGTGCTAGTAGTTGCCATATGTATATATTATAGACATGCCAGAACAGTGCTTTTTTAATCACTGATGTCAGATTATATAGACCATTTCAGAATAGTAGCATGCACTAGAACTGAAAGTTTTAAGGTTTTGTGCTTTTGTCCACAAAAAAGGATCAGTCTTGTGATCCTTTTGTGATACGCTTTTTTTAAAAGAATTTACAGTGAATTTATTTTATAAGTTCTTTTATATGCATCTGTGTAAGTTTTACTGAACTAAATACTTCTGCAATTTTCACCCTTTACAAGATTAGTGAGTGGCATAGTCAAGATTTACAAATTAGTCAGACAGTGAAAAGTTAATTGAAAACATTTACTCAAATGAGGCAAAGTCTGATCTGTAACATTATAAATGACAGTAAGGAAGCTATATCTGTAATTAGAGAAAAGTGTGGATTTTGAATATCTTTTTACTCAAATGAACTCTAATTGAGTTTTGAGAGGAATAGTAGTAAAATATGGAGGGTGTTTAGTATTTTATATTTGACACAGATAGGTTTCATGTAAGGCATGGAGACACTGCACTTTTTAAGAGATGAGAGTTCAGTGAAAAGAGTTATAATGTGCGCTTGAAGCTAAATTATTGTGAAACCAGAGGGTAGCTATAACAATATACTGCTCAGTCTTAAGGAGTAATCAAATATTGAAAATATTTGCTTGAAATTGAAGACTTATTTTGAAATGCGGGAGTTCCTAAAGCCTGATGTGAAAGATAAATTTTCTAACAAACTCAGAAAATAATTGTAAAGGATATATTTGTTTTTAGAGGTGACCTCTGCTGTTTGGTTTAGAAAACATTTATGTAACGATGCTTTTCTTTTGTTTCATTTTGTGAATCTTTTGAAGTTGTGTATAGTTTAGACATTCAGTAGGTTTCCTGAGTGCTTTATTACAGTCTTGCATGAATCACTTAGAATGATAGATCTTGCAAAGGAATCGTTTGATTCATAAGTATCTCCTCTTTTTTTGTGAGGCCATAACTCACTAATGCAAATCTTTAAAAATAGCTCCCTAATAGCTCCCTTTAGAACTTAACCATATTTAGTAGAAACATGGATGAGGAAGTATATTTCAGGTGGCTCAATATGTAATAGGTAAAGCTTGCCCTCCATCTTGCACCGTACTCCAGAGTAAGTGATTGTACCATTGTACACACAAAGTGCTTATAGCACAGTATTACTGTCCGTTCCGTTTTGGTAAAAGAAAAAATTAAGATTAATTGTGTATTTTATTTTAATATTTAAAACAGTTTTTTAAGGAAGAATCCACAGGCTAATCTAGTTTAAAATCTTCCAAGGGAAGACTACTAAATGACTTCACTTCTAAAGAAGTGGCCTCTTCAACTGCTGCTATTAAAAAAATAATATTCTAGCTTCAGTTGTTGGCTTTAAGATGTGCTTGGGTAATACTTAGGAATATAGTGCATTAGATAAAATTGATACCTCAATACTAGATCTGAGAAAAGCAGAGTAAAATTAGAATATTGTTTATGTATGGGGCAAAATCATATGTGACCAGGTTAAAGAAATCTCTGAAAAAGCATTAGACTTCTTCATCCCACAATTTAGAGCAAGCATATAGTAATACATTCTTTTATAGTTTTGTGTATTGAATTTTTATGCTTTTATTTTCAATTAAGTTAGAATTTTCCATTTCGTTTGATTTGCAGCAACTGAGGCAAAATTATTGCTTCAGCATTACAGAGAGGGTAAAATAGACTAAGGTCATGTATTTGAAAGAATATAGAATAGAATTTTTTGAAAACATAGATCTGAATGCTGGTTATAAAGTATTGAAAAAGCATAAAGCTGCAAAGCAAATTATTAAGCATGTATGTAGTATTTATTTTTAATGCAGATGTTTAC